CTAAGAATTAGGAGAGGGAAGGAGACTCCTGGAACCGTGAGTACTTCGTTTTCCCGGGGAATTTCTTCCTACTAGGCTTAGCCCCTCTGCTTGTTGGGTGAACATTACTTTCCATAGACGTTGTGTCCCCAGCACAAAAACGCGTAAATTATGCAGAAACCTGAAGAAATACAGCAGGAATAAAGCTGATAGCAGCTCGCAACTTTAAAGGACTCTTTGGGCCAAGTTGGATTAGAGCAGACTTTACGCAATGCCTCGACCCCTTTATTGGATGAGACCCAAACATTTTGTGTTCAACTATTAAATGTTTTTGTCTTTGGTTTGTATGAAGAAGGACAACTTCCATTCACACCCAAGGAGTATGGTAAGAAAAATTGATGACGTCACTGGACATTGGTTTATTGGAGGATAAATGCTGCTAATTATATTAAAAGCACAACTCACCGTTTCAGCTTTAATATAAAGCAGAACACAAAAAAAGGAAGCTACTTTGATTTAAACCATCATTTTCCCTTGAGATGTAAAAGAGTATATAAAAAGGACACATCAGTATTCTGACACTTCTGGGAAGAGAAGAAAAAGCATTATGAGGAAAACGGAGGCAAGCTAGTGATGACGTAACCGAACCTATTTACTAGATTGCAGTTGGTCAACAAAACGACAGAGGTGCGTAAAATTATAATGAAAATGAACAACTACACATGTTCAGCTATTTAACGACTAATCGATCTGCAGAAGGAATACTGTCGCACAGGATTCTCGTCAACTTCCTGGCTTCCCACTGAAAATCGATACCGATCAATAACTGGTCGGTTTTTGTTCACATGTAGAAAATGTGCGAATGCTATGTACGATGCGCTTCTTATAAATGTTTGCTGGAATTGTGCTCAATACGTCAATATGAATGACATACGAATTGAAAAACTGGATTGTTGCGAAACGGTTGCGCGATGGGAGAGAGCGCGGAGAGATGGCCGGGCCGTGCTGCCGAGAACGGCGGTCCAAGGTTTCTAGACAACAGGCTGCTTCAGAATTCCACGACGACAACCACAACGACGACGACGACGACAGTCATTCCCAGCACATCAGCGGTGGCGGCGATGCGGCCGCCGGCGACGACGGGCTCGATACGCGGGGGGGCCTTGCATGATGTGCGAGAGAGCACGCGGTCGGAGGAGGGTCGCGCTCAGCGCCAGAGAAAGAGAGTGCACGCGAGAGAGCGCCACCACCGCGCGCCCTCCCCCGCCAGACATCGTCATCGCGATTTGAACGCCCAAATTCGCGCCATTATCCACGAACCTGCACATCAATGCGAGGAAAGTTCAAATTTATTTGCCCTGGAGCGCGTTTTCTGAAAATGGGAACGGCTTCGAGGGTGGTGGATGCACTTTGTGCGTTCTGTTTATGTACACACTGACGACGCTGCTGCTGCTGCGACGCTCCGTGCCACGTCTGAATTCACTGAGATCGGTGATGACCACGTCGGTGCCGTTGATTTCAAGGAAAGATCTGACCTATCTTAGGTGAGGTTATCAGTTTTCGCTACCATCTGGCCGTTGGCAAATCAGTAGGAATGGAACGGGTTCCTAAATGCTGTGAATTTTCTCCGGTTCTCATCCACTAGGGTGGGGCGCGTGATACAACAGTTCATATCACCTCAAGTAATCAATTTTTCTGCAGGGAAGGGAAGCATCGGAGTGGCTGTGAAGCAAGAAGTGAAATATTATAGTTTAAGCACCCCGGGGATTTCCTTCCCCTGCAAAAATTGGGATTCTGCATAGGCGTTGGCAGTTGTCGAATCACATACCCCTCCTCTAGATGGGATGATCTTTCATTCGGCAAGCTGTTAACATCAGTTACTATTTTCATAAGAAGTGTATGAATTTCGAGCTACTCCTGTCCTGTATAGTTGAGACATACTTTACGTGGGGGTTTTCCTTAATTTAGGAGTGGAATCACTCGTGAAAATCACCTCTGATTTAATGTGATTGCCATTATGAGGCAAATCTGTACAAAAAGCAGGGGTGATACCTGGCAAATGGCTAGCTCTTGGCTTTGTACCCAGTGCTACTGATAGAATTTGCAGTTCGCTAAATGGTCATATGCTACTCTTATGGTCACCTAAAGTAAAAGTAATAAGTCACAATTGATTGATAAGGAGAATAATTTCTTTGAGGGTGTTGAGCCCTTTCTCTTGAAACGGCGAATGTCTCTGATCTTATATTTCATAGGTTTATTTTGTCTTTTGACATTTTAAGGCAACTACTGGTTGAAACCCTGCGGCCTAAGGTTGGTGCCGAAGTAAAATCTTGTTGGGTACATGTATGTGCCACTTTTTGTACTGCAACTCACAGGTATTATCACTATCATTCTCTTAAAGAGTTGTGATGAACTTCGTGAAACTGCTTGCGTGAAAACAAAACAAACTGGAACGGGAGTCACTCAAGCTTTTAGAATAATTCAAATATTTCTGCGCCACTGGTGCAGGTCAGTTGAAAATCGTGGAAATAAGCAAGTCTTCGGTCAATTCGACTAACAT